AATCAATAGAGATAAAGGTCCTGAGGAATGGGGTAATCGATTATGGCAGTCTCCTTAGTCTACCTAGGTGGTTAACAAACTCAATCAAGCTATCCCTAGACAATAGATTCGAATACAAATCAATCCACTCTCGTGACAGAGATTCTCAAGCTAAATCACTTTCATACTCAATTCTCATTGAAGAAATATAACCTAGCAGGCATTATGATTCAATCTAATAAAGTCAATAAGCATTCTAAACATCCAATCTCTTGGGCTAGAGTATGCAAATCTCTGGAATAGTTGGTTCAAACATTTCATCAAACACCTTTTGGGTGTGGAAATGTCTGAGATCAACTTCAAATTGATCAGAGAGGAAATAGCATTAAGATCTACTAAACCAGAAGGGAAATCAAGCAATTCTACACTTAACCACCTAAATATACTAAGGATTCCACACCTAATCTATCCCATCCTCAAGAACCCTAATCCACTACTCAAGAACACTGAAGAACATCATGCATAAAAACCCAGAAAACGTTTCAAACCCAGAAATCATTGAAAAGAAAGTATGTTATAGATAAGAGACAGATCTACAACTTTGATGAAGAAAAGAAATGCAAAAACTCAAAGGATCAACAGGAAAAACGATTACAAAAACTAGGGTTTATGAGAGAACAAAGGAATATCTGCTGGGTAAAAGGAATATCCCCTGGACAATAGCATGTACCCCTATTTATAGGAAATACTAGGTTGCCCTAATTGGCTACAGGACAAAATAGAGAGTCGGTGGAGGCCAACTCGACGTGTCGTCGAGCCTACCACGTCGAGACCATGTGATTCTCAAAGGTGGCGCCTTGATGTCCATCTCGACGTGACGTCGAGCCTGTCTGGTCGAGTCTGCTCCCAGGCTGCTTCTTGGCGTCCATCTCGACGTGACGTCGAGCCTGTCTGGTCGAGACTGCTCCCAGGCTGCTTCTTGGCGTCCATCTCGACGTGACGTCGAGCCTGTCTGGTCGAGACTGCTCCCAGGTGATCTTGAACGACTTCATTCCTCTCCAATTCGATCCCAAGTCTAGCTCCAAGGTCGTGTTGGTTCCTCCTTGCTCCATTAAGTCCCAAATAAGCTCCAAAGTACCTAAAACTCATCCAATATGCAACATACTATGCCATGCAATGCAAATCGTACTAAGTGATGAAAATCTTATGAAAAAGGACTATTAATGCAGTGAAACAGAGAGGAAACTAAGCTAAATGCATAAGAAATGCGTGCTAAAAAGAGGTAAAATACAGAGATATCAACTCCCCCAAACTTAGCTCTTGCTTGCCCTCAAGCAAACAAATAGAACCAAGCTGGAGAAGAGGTTTGAAAGTGGAGACTCAGAACCAAAACATGCATATAGAGTAAGTGAATTCAATGTCCAGGTTGCTAATTCTAGAGTGCAAGGTTGACTGATCTCTACTTAAAAACATTAGCCATCTTCTTCACATCTCAACCTAACCTCTGCCTTAATCAAATCAAGCATTCAAATCTGCACATTCCCCTTAACATTTATTAAGTAGGAACCGTGAATCATACTATGCAATGGATATGAACACATTTGGCTAAAGGGTAAAGGTTTTAGAGACAAAGATGGTCCCTTAAAGATCTGGCTTAAATCGCAACAGGGGATCTCTCAAGAATGATTGAGCTTTAGTAGAATGCTAAAGGTGAGTATCAAGTTATGCATACAAGGATAAGACCCCATCTACCCAGAATGTAATCAATATCAACCCAAATAGAGGTCCTATTTCTAATCCCAGAATCATGAACTTAACTCTACCCTTTTGCACTCAAAGCATTTACAGACTTTACTAAAATCATCCCTTTTCTTTTCTTTGCTTTCTATCCTAGGAGAAGCTTTCTTACTGCTCTGTCTAGCGGATCAGGTTTCTTTAACAACTAGGGTTCCCTTTTCTTTCTTCTTATAAACACAAGGCTTTTGCCCAATCTCTTTAAGCTATTTACAGAACCCTTTTTTCTTTACTTTAGCACACCCAAATCCTTTACTAGACTTCTCTTACTTTAGCTACTTCTCCTTAGGACTCTTTTCCCTTTTCTTTTCTTTCAATGATGAACACAACCTTTTCTTTCTTTTAAACACAACCCAAACCCAGAATTAAGCACCCACCTAGTCCTATCTGGTCCAGATAACGTGAACCAGAACTACATGAGATACTATCCTTGTCGTTACAGACCTAACACTTTCTACCAAGCTCAATCGGAATAAGGCCTCACATTCACACACAAATGATAAATGGCTTGAAAGAAGGTTAAGGCTAAGGGTGGGGAATAACTGCTCCAAAGATGGGAGTCAGCTACTTGGACTAGCAAGAGTGATCAAAAGGTAAAAGAAAGTCCAAGTATTTTAAGGTATCCATGAGTTCATAGCACAATGCACAACATGATAATTATAAGTCAAAATTCAAGTTCAAATAGATAGGGAATGGCATCAGATCAAAGCGAGTTTCGACTAAAAACAAGAAAGTCAAGCGTTGAATTCAAAAGATGGTGCGGTCTTACTTCAAGTTCAGTCGATTATGCATTAGAGAACTAACAACCAGGGCACTGAGTTCTACTTAGTGAATAAGCATATTTACAAGGTTATAATCATCATAATCTCCAATGCAAATGCATGATGCAACAGCCCTAAGTGAAAGCATACGAAAACAATCCTAAAATGACAATGCAAGCTATATGAACACTCTGTTTTTGTGAAATCATTTTCAAAAAATTTCAAATTTTTATGGTTTTTCTATGCCTTAGATGCAATGATGCAAAATTTGAAATAAGAAACCAAAACACAATGTCAAATACTCCCTGAGCCCTCCCCCAAACTTAAATTACACAGTCCTCTGTGTAACAAGCATTTGGAAGAGAGTACTCAGGGCAAACCAACAGAGAAACAAAATGAAATGTGGTATATACAATGGTGAATTGGAGTTGTTACCTCATGGATGAGTGAAGAAGGAGGTGATTGACCTGGTACTGGTGGGCTTCATGGGCTAACTCGACGTCTCATCGAGCAGGTACGTCGAGTAGGCTTCATTTTTTTGCTTGGAGTTGGTCCATTGGGCTAGCTCGACGTGACGTCGAGTAGGGCACGTCGAGACAAGGCCACTCGTTCTGTTTTGCGCCTTGGCTTCCTTAAACGCTTTATCCTGAGACACTTAAGCAAAAACATCAAAAATAACAAGGAAATTACTAATATTCACAAGGATAGACATGGAACTTCCTCCCAAGTGAGCTTGTTTAAAGTCTTTAGCTTGACTTCTCACAGTGAATAAGCTTAGGGTGGATTGTAGAGAGCAAATGAGGTCTCATCTGTTCTGCAGGTGGATGAATCATCTGGCTTAGCAGGCTCTCTTGACACATATTCACTTGAGTACTCAATGGCCCCTTTCTCATAGTAAGCTTCTTGTTGATCAACTGGATAGTCTTCTGCTATAGACCATTCTGAAGTGAATTCACTCCCCTTTTTGCTGACCAGAGTGGATGCTTCATCAGTTGGGACGTCCTTGATTGGGAGTGGTTTTTGGT